CGCACCACAGCATTTTCACCGCGAACAGCGATGCCTTCGACATGTTGAGCTTGAAACCAGCGCCGTGCACGATCTCAAAGAATGTACAGAACGTTTGCTGGAATTCCTCCATTGTCGGCGCAAAGAGCAGCACGTCGTCGACCCAGACGACCGCCGAGGGCTGTATCAGAGGGGCTAATTTTGCTTGCACTTGGCTCTGGAAATGCAGAGCGGGGTCCATCGCTCCTTGGGGCACTCGAGAGGGTGTGAAGGCACCATCAGGAGTAATGAAGAGAAATTTTCGCGGCTGTCTTCGTGCAGAGGCATCTGCCAAAAACCTTGCGAAAAGTCCACTCGGCCAAAAACCTTCTTATTCCGGAAGTTCTTAAATGCATCGTGCAGAGATGCAGCGGTGGGCATACCACCTGCTATCGTGACAGTGACGCTGTTTACAGGCCTGTAGTCGATAGTGAGACAAAATTGATCCTTCGTGTCTGGCTTGCGCACTGGCACCGCCGCGCAGGCCCACCGTGCGGCGTGGTTTGGCTCCACCAGATTATTCGCAACGAGAGACTTCACATATTCGCGGATAAATTGGGCTTGTAACGGTGCGTACTTCCGTGGACTCCACACTCCACGGCACCCCTCCACGGTGGAGGGATGCGGTAAGGCACTGCATCTTGCCGCAGCGTCACATGGAGTGGCTCGACGTCAGCCGGTGGATCGGGACCGACAGTGGCACGCCAAATATCAGGAAATGCAGCGAGCAGGTCACGGACGGCCTCGACTCGAGGCCGTCCGTGACCTGCTCGAGTCGAGCCTCGACGTGTTCAGCGGGGAGTCCGTTGGTGACGGCACGTTCTAGGAGTCGGTCGAGTGGATTTATTGGCTCGACTGCATCCGCAGATGGCGGGAGCTCATCTCCCACTGGAAACTCGTCCACCTCATCCTCGAGAAGTGGGGAGCCAACCAGCTGGGAAAGTTGCTGCTCCACGTCAATGCCGAGTCCCTTGAGCACCTCGCGGCTCAGTAAAAGTTCATCACCATCTCCAGCCAGCACCAAGCATGGCACCGATCGTACCACTACCAACCCAGTCATAGCAGTCAACTCCAGGTCCAAGCGTACGTCTTCGTCGCACAACTTCGTCTGTCCATTCGCCATCACGGCCTCCGCAGCCACTGGTAGATTCGTCACTTCAAGAGTAGGCTGCATTGCTCGGAGCGAATTCAGCGTTTCTTGGGGCACAATGCTCTGGTCAGCAGCCGTGTCTGGAGCATAGGGGGTCTCAACTAGCCCATTATTCCGGACAGTGCTTGCGGAGAGCTTCTTCACGATGGGCATCGGTGGCTTGATCCAGTGTTGCCCCTTACATACCACTGGTATGATACCAGGCATCCGTCATATGGCGACGTACCCGTCTGTTGGTGCGTCGTGCGGGCAGTAGCGTTACCGGTAGTGGAAGGTCGCGTCGATGTCGTGAAGGCTGACACTGTTGGCTCTGTCTTAGCTCCCCATTCTTTTGCGGCTTTGCCCTTCGCGCCCTTCGTGTCGGTCCTTCCGGCATGGTTTTAAGATATCCGGTGGAACCGCTGCTGTACTTTAGCATGCTCGAATATTCTGATCGAAGAGCGCGATGTCATCAGACTTGCAATCGCCCTGCTCCAGCTCAATGAGGCGCCCAATTCGAGCCTTGAGGACCGGTGGCTGGAGGTTGTCGACGAGGAGGCAGCACCGGGCCTTCATCCTGTTCTTGTACTAGGCCCAAGCACACACGCAAGCTCTTGGGACATCGGGCTGGGCCGTTCAAGGTCGTCGCTGCGCTGCCGCACTCGTTTAAAATTCAGCACTTGGTGACATGGCGCAAGCACGACGTCCTTGCTTCCCGTTTGAAGTTTTACTCGGATGCAGAACTGGATACAACTGCAGAGATACTTAAGCTGGTGTCAAGCCGAGGTATGCCTCTTAGTGTTGACAGGCTCGTCGATCATCGATACGTCGCTGCACTGGGAGCTGTTCGTGTCCTGGATGGGGCTGCAGGCTATCGAGAGTTCGTGGGAGCCTCTGTCTGCGCTCCAGCAAGATGTTCCGGCCAAGGTTGCGGATTACGTGTCTACAACCGACGAAGCTGACGAGCTCCGTGATCAAGTAGATTAGTCTTGTTCTAAGTCCCGACCAAGCTTTTTTTTTGGGGGGGGGGCAGTGTCGCCGATTACGGCCTTTCGTTCAAGGCGGTCAAGCTGTGGCGCGTCGGCGATCTACACATGCTGGCTCTGGCCAATGGAGAACCCAGGCACGTGCCTAGATACGTATCGAGGACGCTGTGCCTGCGCCGCACGGATTGGATGGACTGGTGGAACGCTGCGCGGGCCCTTAGCGGGCGCTGGCACGTGCCCACGACTGCTTATTCAAGGCACGGTGAAAGGGAAGCCTTTCGTGGCCAAGTACCTGCTTTTATTTTCCTCATTAATAAATATACCTTTTCGGAAACGCCCGGGGTAAACCGACACATCCCTTCTACATCATCGTAAATCTGAATTCCCTCTCCTTCGTCAACGGCGCAATGATTGCTCCATCCATGAGCTGGTACCGGTAATTAGCATTTCCTCGCTGATTCATACTAAAATTTAAATGCTCGTTTATATTTTAGTACATGTAGTGCGGGAACCTGAATCATCGCACCCTTGACAATTCGGCAGACTCAACCGACCAGATGGGCATTTCCCACGACGCCGTACTTGTCTTTGTTTTTCTTGCCTCCTTTTCTCGGCGGAAAAGGCTACAACCGTGTCTATAAATATTGCCAAAATGGGCGGTGATTAGTACCAACTGAATCCGAAGCCGGTGAAGGCTACTCCTGCGCCGTGGCTCTCTGTGGTGCGGTCAATTCGTTTGCTAAATGACCTGGCATCGTGGAACCACCGTCGAGCATTCTGGTAGTACTCGGACCACCGATGGCAACGGCCGTTGCACTAACTCTGGGTTCGAATCATCGGACACGGGCTCACGGCCTTGGGCTTGGCCCATGGCTTGGCCAAAGCTACATTGTAAAGGTGTGTCCCTCTCGCCAGGACGGCTGTGCTTTTGATGTGGGCCGACTTTATCGCATGTAGCCTTCGGCTTGAACTTTGACCCTTCAGTCTATCACACGCTCGTTTTGGGACTGCTGCTGGTCAGCCTCGGCAGCAGGTACGGGTCGAAGAGCAAGTTGGACAGGAGCTGAGTGTCTGACACCGCTAGACGTGGCGTTTACGGCAGCATAGGCGACGCCTCTGTGGTGGTAAGAGTGGCTTGTAATGCAACCGCTTGGTCGTCTTCACCATCGGCCCCGATGAGGCCCTGGAGACCATTGTCATCCACTATACCATTAAAATCTTCGTAGTAGCGTAAGATGCGCGCGTCACAGTCATCAATCGATAGGTGCATCCTTAGGTTCGCACGGAACTGAGACGCAACGTCTGGCACGAATTCGTTCTTTAGGGTTCGGCATCATGCCTCCACGGCACCCATGATGTCGGCATCGGTGACGGACGCAATAGGCTTCTTAAGCACATGCGTGGTCATATTCTTCAGCGTCTGTCGCCGCACGGAGCCCTTTATAGTAGCCACTACGTTATCGTAGTTCATCTTCTCGACGTAGCGCTCCCACTCACGGTGCCACTCGATGAGAGCGGCATGCTCCCAGCTAATTAGCTCCGTAGCCTTGATGACCTCAAAGATCGGCTAGGGGACTAAAGAAATCTTCGGTCGAACGCGCACTGAAGAGACCATCAGCAAACTCTACGCTTCGTGAGCGCAAAGCTAGCTTTGTCGCGTTACCCGGGGTGTTTCCGAAAAGGAAAGTTTTAGTAATTAGGGAAAAAACAGGTACTTGGTCACGGAAGGCTGCCCCTTCACTGTGCCTTGAATAAGCAGTCGTGGGCACGTGCCAGCGCCCGCTGACGCCCCGCGCAGCGTGTCACCAGTCCATCCAATCCGTGCGGCGCAGACACAGCGTCCTCGATACGTCTCTAGGCACGTGCCTGGGTTCTCCATTGGCCAGAGCCAGCAAGTGTACCACAGCTTGACCGCGTTGAATGAAAGGCCGTAATCGGCAACAGGATGGAAGAGTACATGGAGCCGTTCGCCCCACCGATGGAGCTTCCGACGACGCTAGCCGAGGTCGGGGCTATCGCGAAAATGCTGGAGCTATGACCGATGATCCTGCAGATCTATTTTGCCACCCGGATGGCGCAACTACTACAAAGTTAGAGTCATAGCCCAAAGCTCTTGATAGCTTCTGCCTGTTTCTTCGCGTACATTCCTGTTTCGTTTTGGCAGCAAGTCGTTGGTGAGACAAATAGCTACCGGTATGCACACATGCATGGTATGATACCATACATGGTATCACACTCACATAACATTTCATACTAGATGAAATTATGTTTTTTTCTCGGCATCCTGTCCTGCATGATGCTAATAGATAAAGGCGAGTACAGCAATTACTGGGTCAACAAGTGGAAGGCATTATTCTTGGAGGAAGCTCGGTAAGCCTAGATGCTGTGGTGCCGCTACGCAGATTCAAGTAGCTCCAGCAATCGTTCTGTTTCTACTATTGTGGTGATCAGGCCGCCAGAATCAGGCCTTTGCTCAAACTTCTCATGGCTACAGGGTCAGCGCGTGTGAATATCGTACGAGCCGTGGCAAGCCAGCGTCGCACGCAGGTCAGCGGACGATAAATCACCTATTGTATACAGCTCTATGAAGCCTACCAGTAAGTACCATTTTCGTATATACATGATTTGCTGTTCGACTACATGGGGTTCGCTAATCTTCAGACTACACTGTCAGAGCGATGTAACGGAAAGATTAAGGGGTGTGATGGGCAGTGTGAACTAAAAGTAGCTCGATCCATCTGTTGAACTGGCGCATTGTCAACTCAGACAACTATTACACTTCCGTACAGCTACTCGATGATATGCGAAAATAGACCTGTACGGGAGAGGGGTTGTCAGGAAGTCTAGTGCTCATTGTCACGGTACACATCTAGAAGGCGGGCTCGCCATTCTCTCGGACTGCGTTGGAAGATCTGCTTGCTGCAGAAGGTGCAGGCCACGTCCAAGCGACTGTGCCCTCCGGCCCAATCAGCGGCGCTCCAAGCCTAGTATGAAAATTCCGGCTTTCGACAAGGGTGAGAATTTGCGTTGGCCCTCCACTTGGTTGTGGTTTATGGAAAGGTAAGGAGTCTAGTACTCAGCTTGGAGCTTTAGGTAGAAGCTCAGTCGTGATTTTACTTCTTACAAGAGAAGTGCTCAAGAATACAACAACAACTTTACATTTACCCAACCCCGACCTAAGGAGGATTATCACGACAATTTGGTGAAGAAACAGAGTATCTTCACGCCGAAGAATCGTACGAACGTTAACGCGGAGTGAACCGCCCCTTTGGTAACGGAACGCCAAAGCAAGAGGAAAAAAGAAGTGGGAACGAAATGAGCGCCCACGGTTGGTCTGGTGAGGGATACAGCGGTGAGACAAGGGAAGAAGCTGGGGGATGATCGTCGCCACTTCTGCCCGAGTCACTACTCCAAGTCGAGACCTACGAGGAAGACAAGCGCGCGCCTAGACCGCCGGCGGTGGCGAACAGGATGAGGTCCGCTTCAGAACAAGTGGAGACGTTCCCGCGGACACTGGGACGCCTCGGTCAGCCGATTCATCAGGACGGAGCGACGCTGAAAGAGAATTGTCTAGCTACGGAGTTAAGGTACTGGGGGTGGTGAACGAGGTCCTGCCAGAACCCGAGACGTCTGGAAAACAAGAGCGTTTAGATGTCATCTTGAAGCAATTAGCTCGGCGGCCGGGACAAAATGAGAAGCTGAAAGCGCTCATGTCTGGTGCGCCCCGAATCGAAACGTTCTCATTCGACCCGTCGTTCCCCTCGCTGACACCCCTCAGGGATGCTGGGAGTGCTAGGGAGCCAGCCACCCCGACGAACGTGACAACGGAAGCAAGGCTCACAGGGGGGGGCGACCCCGGGAACGGCTACTTACTTTTCGGGACGACCTGAAGGCCAAGTGGCAACGCCAGCTCAATCGGTGACTACGCCTGCGAAGTCGATGTCTACGCCTGCTCGATCAGGAGGAACGCCGGCCCGATCGATGACGGCCTCAGCGAGATCTACGATCACGCTTGCGAAGTTTGCGTCGACGCCTGCCAAGTCTGTGTCGACTCCTGCTCCATCGATAGCAGCGTCCGCCCGGTCTGGAACGTCTTCCAACGACTCGAGGCTACAAGCACTGGTGGAAGAATCGGTCGAGCGAGTACTTCGGAAACTGACGTTGTCTCGTGAGTCTAGCGCTGGAAAGCCACGCTCGCGAACGGTGGGACCAGATACCCGCTACACGCCTGGGTCGGCCAGACTTGACGTACGGAGCTGGAGCAACCTTCGAGCGCGAGTACCAGAGACCTCCGATTCCCTCGAGCTCCGACCCTAACGGAATACTTCGATGTCAGTGGGAATGACCCTAGGACCAGTTCCCGCGTATCGAGGCGTACCACCGAGGGGGATTAGTCCTTACGGGAACGGGATGGTAGGCGAAACGCCAAGGACGGGAGCACTCTATTCTCAGTACCAGTCGATGCCCCAGCCTGCTGCCGGGTCGGTCCAGAGTGGAACGCTTCCCGCTTGGCTCGCAGCTCCCGTAACGCCGACTCCTGCGTTTCCGAATCTGCCTACGCTAGGGATGCCTCTAGCAGCCGGGGGAGCCTCGCCGTCGTATATGAGGAACCAAGGCCTTGGAGGGAGCGCCGGAGCTCGAGGTGCTGCGTAACGACGCGAGGACGCTCCTGAACGCGCAGATTAACCTCGTCGAGCCGTTCCTTAGGTTGATATCCCGAATGAGTTGAGGAACGTCGTAAACATAATTGTACCGTTTATTAGGAGACGGCTACAAACGAGAGCGCGGCAGCTTTCTAGTGTTCCTTTGAGAGGTGCACCTATGGGATGGACAGCCTGATGCGATTGGCGGCGTTTGAGCAGTGCCTTAGGGGTAAGGTGGGTCAGGAGTGGTGATATAATTCGAGGACGACAGTTTCGAGACCCTTCGAGTGATGTTTCATAACCGATTCATCTGTCAAGCCCTGCACAGCTCTGGAATCGTCTCAAGAACGCCAAGCGAAGTCGCGGTGAGTCGGCCGAAGAATGGGGTGATCGGATCTCGACTATGTGTGAAGCCCTGAACACCATGAGCCTCGCATAAGGTACGAGTTCTTACTAGACGGCCTGTGAAACAAGCATATGAAGGCGGTGTTGAATGGCAATATGGTTGCGACGATCCGAGAGGCCTGTGACCCGCTGATTTACAAGAATTGGCACATGCCAGGCGAGGAA